TACGAGATGGTTATCGAATTTCGTTGCTGAATTTTAGGAAAATATGGCTCAGTAGAATGGTGTTAAACAAAATATTTTAAATTTCCTGTTCGTGAGACCTTCCGTGATATGTAATCAAATTATCAAGTAAGTATCTGGAGCTAATGATTTATTGGTTGAAAGCAAAAACTATCGATATGTATTGTTGAAAAAGTGTGTTTTCCAGAAGGGAATTATACCAAAATTGAATGACGTTGACATCCCACAATGAAAGCGATATACCCAAATGAATAACCAACATAGTTTGGCAGTCAAGGGCCTTTTAACCGTAACTCAGTCCATTCTCTTTTGTATCTTAACAGATACATAAACATTGACGAATACTTTATTCAACAGGCAGTTTTCAATACACCAGTTAATTTGCCTCTTTGTGTGATGTTTTGTACAAATGTTTTCGTACTGTGGGAACCTAGTTTAATAATCAAGTGATACCGTAACACGGCATGTGTGCTGTGGCTGTGTGCTTGCTTGCAATTGTTTTCAAAACATTACACGTAGCAGATAGGAAAAGTGTGATGATTGATAATTCAATAATTAAAAACAAATTCCATAAAATACAACTCTATGAAGTTGTTTGAAACTATAACCCTTATTATAAAAAAAAGGTGTAGGTCTTGTGTTTTAGTGTGTAGTAACACACTAAAACACAAGACCTACACCTTTTTTTTTTTCCGTGCGGAAATCCCCTCGGATACCACCTGTCGGTGGCATGTCGGACTCGAACCGAATAAAACCGCACGCCATCTCGGGTACTAATAGCCGGGGAACCAGGTATACCCTAGAAAGGAAGTCCCTGGTGCCCCGACATACCTCGGGTCATCTACAGACGAGTAGACGACCCCCCGTGTGGGAACCCCATGTTCCCTGTGCTCCCTGGAAGCGAGCACGCTTCGCAACGCGCTCGCCGCCACCCCGGCCTGCTTCTGCTACGGTGACAGATGGCCTCACCTGTCACCTCCAGGCCTGCTCTTATGGAGGGCGGAGGTCGTTCTGCGACCTCCGGCGCCTGAGTCGCCTGCGGTACCTGGCCCGTTCCCGGGCCTGGCGGGCCGGGAGAGTCCTAAACCTCTCCCGGTCCCGCTCCGCCGTCTCCTTCGCGAGCATAACTTGCTCGCAGAAGGAGACGGCAGAGTTCCACGCACTCTCGCTCCGTACGATAGCCGCAATCAGGCTATCGAGCGAGAGAACTCCCACTCCGATGGCCGCCACGAGGTCTCGCCTCTGCTCAACCCACGCCGGGCACTCTGCCAGCGTGTGGAGAGCCGTACAAGACCTACACCTAATTTACTAAACGAAATAAAATCTAAATACCTCTAAATAAATAAGTACCGTTTGAAAACAGATAGACAGATTGCTCATTTAATTTCGTTAATCGGAAACAGTCCAAAAATAAATTTCTTAAGGATAAATGACAAAAGATGCCTGCAAGCGATTGAAAATCGGGAAAAGCCAAAAGACTAGCGGGTATCTTTACAAGCATATAAAAAACGGACACAAAGAATACTCAGGACAGGCACTACCTGATTTAAACGTTTATTTCGACTTGCTTCATTATGTTTTTAACCGAGGAATGGCTCTAACCAGCATGTATGTGTCGAATTAATTGAATATTTCCAACATGTTAATTACATATGTGTTATTATTTATACTTTTACGAATTCAATTGTTATATCGCTGCACCGTACAATAGTAACACATTAAGGCGTTATTTCTGGTTTCCTTTCACCATTACTATCGAAATCTGTGTTTTACGATGTCAAAATCACCCTTGTCGATTGAATCTAATAACTAGTGAATATATGCAAGTTTTATTGCTTTAGTTGATTCATTGAGTATGGTAAACGTAATAAAAATTAGTGAGTGTGGTCTTAATGACAGTTATTTATTTTAACTTTTCAAATTGCCCGTTCAACTAAATTCGTACATTGTACAACATTGTTCACAGGATTAATTAATTTATTGCTTTTGAATTTCAACGTCCTTGCGTACTCACATAATGGTGAACATACAACCAAATAATACAATACAATCCAGCTGTTGCTTGATTCTATTTTGTATAATATTCTGAAATCGAAAATATGCTAGTCTGGTTATGGTTATTTACACCAGCCAAATGCTCTTTGTTCTTTTAAGTAATACGCCGCAATGTTGATAGTAAAACTGTTAGGTTTTGTTATTATTAGCGCTATATTTTGTAACAGTAGGGAAATATAACAGAAAACCAAATTGTGTCGGAAAAATTATCGAGTTCTTCTTTAAGGTGATATTTATCCAAATTCGTCGTGCTGCTATCTGATCATATACCTGACCACACTTTTTTCTTATTTCTATAAATCCTTTAAAAAAAAACAGATGAGAAGGGACTATTGCTGTTATAATGTTACCTGTTATATTGAGGGTTGGACTTATTATAGTTTTTTACTTAGATTTATAATTAATTTTTAAACTTAAAAAAAGGATATTTTACCATTTTTAGTGTAAGATATGTTTGTAATAACTAGATAAGTACGAAATTTAAAACACTACGTACTGTAATGTATATTACCAAACTGTAGTAGGTATGTTAGATTATATTAAATATAGTTTAATAAGCCCGTTACTTTATTGAAATAAAGTAGTAAGATGTTCCATTTGAATCCGAAAATATATTGTTTTGTCACATTACTTAATTTTCCACCACCAGGAGTGGCATTTTTCTTTACATTTGATTTGAACCAAAGGGCAAATATACCGATTTGTAATTATTTTTTTTCATTGGATAGCCAAATAAAAGAAAGAATTTTCCAATACGGTTTACAAACGAAGGAGTTTTTTTAGACTAAATGTTTTGAAATCTCATTACTCTCATTTACTCTCTTGTGCACATATCTCTATAAACAACACAAACACCTAACAAATATTTTGAAAGAATAAAACAAGATCAATACATGATTATAATTTTGAAAGAGTTATCCTCTAAGTCCTAAAGGGCAAGGATCCTTCCATAATCAGTTCAGAAACATGACATAACGACTACTAAACGGAAATACCTATATAACTAGAGAAAAAAGCTAAACACGTTGTTGGGGCTGTAAAATTTGAGGGTTTCCTTCGATTTCTCTAAGATCCCATTATTAGATCCTGATTTAGTGATCCTGATCCTTTTAGATGACAGAAAGAATTTTGAAAGTCTGCTCTCAATTAACGGAGATATTGATAAAAAATACACCCGAATTGATAACCTCCTCTTTTTTGTTTTTGAAGTCGGTTAAAAAGGCTGTCTTCTTATCCACTTTTTCTTAGACACTCTCTGTATATTAAAAATAAGTAAGCATGCTCTTTGTGATATACATGTTTCTTCATATTTTCCTGACATGGTGATCCAGGTTCGTCAGGGATTCGTTCAGTAAATCGGCTATAGCCATCAAGCTATGCGCCGCTGGATCTCTTAAGTAGTTGATAATCTGCATTTGACTGGAGGTGAGTGTAGTTTTGGCTAAGATCTCTATTAATTCGGTCCCTTTTATATCATAGACTTTTTGTAGACCCCTATTACGTTCTGCAATTGAAAGACTGCAGATTTTGTTCTTATCGACAACGGGGCTACAGTTTGATAATGCTACAAATACGACTATTTTCCACTTCATTTATCTTATTATTAGTCACCAAATCCAAATTGTGCAATGAGCTCATTAATAAGAAAATTATTTTTGTTAATATTCAAAACTTTGCATTGTATTTAATTTCTCTTGCATTAATTTCAAACAGTTTTAATTGGATGTATGGAGACCAAAATGCCTCTAATAAATTTTGTAAATCAGAAGCCTCAAGTCCCAGAACATATGTATTCTCATCAAAACTATAATAATTAAAGCACACTGAACAATTAAACACACAAGTACTTATAGCTGTTGACCGTTGCTGTCAATAGAAATTGATTCGGTTTCAAAATATACGGGATTTAAGAAAATGGTGGCTGTGATTCTTAAAAAAAAAGAGACAAATCTCTTAAAAATAAGTTACTAAGTGCACAGGTTGGCTTGCAAAGAACAAATCTAAGTTGAAGGAGCTTTTGTCTAACAATGTCTATAACCTGACTCACGACATGTTTTATAATTTCAATGTCGTCAGTTTTGCCGATGCACAGCTGTCAAGATGAGCAGATCATAAAAGTTAATGTAAACATTATTTTCCGTTCTAATTTTATTTAAAACTTTATTTATATACAACGAAATTACGGCTTTTTTATAGTTACAAAAAACATTTTCAAATGGAAAGTTTCTAAAGTTTGTAGAAAATTTAACAGATTGAATACAAATCCTGATTTATTTTTGGCTCAAACTGGTATTTTTCCTCTGTCCTTATAAGTACATATAGAGTCTTTATGGCAGTGTGCGGTTAGTATAACACAGACCAATGATTAGTGCAAAAGAGCATAATATATGTGATATTATTCATTAATACGGCTTTATTCATATGTAGATATGTCACCTAGTTAATTCAACCTTATCCAAGTAACCATGGCTTTACGAAATTCGTGCCTAAACGAAGTGGTAATAAAAAAAGGCTGCGAGTTTAATAATTAAAATTACAATCGTAAACCTGTTTAGATCGCAAAAACAATATGATAGATTCCTTAATGTTGACAACTTTGATAACTCTTATTGCTATATTTAACATTTTAGGTGAAGGTAACGTGGTGAAAATGACAAGGTTATTGTTACCAAAGTAACTTTCATGTTGACAATACCATGTATTTATTTATCTTCATATTATTATTTTTTAACATACCTATGTCACTGACTCATTTATTTGTATTGAAAATCGCAAAACTCGAGATTAAGGCTGTTAGAGAAGCTGTTTTAACAGCTCATAACTATGCAACATACCTACGTACAAACGATACACTATAAATTTATGTAAACAAATTAAAAGACCACAGTAGCACAATGTGATTTCTAAATTCACCAACTCACACTCACCGGAATTCCTTCACCTTTGGAGTTCTTCAGAGTAAAATATATCGAGAAAGTCAAAAATATCAATTTTAGAGAAATGGCAACTGATACTACTATTACAAATGGGGACGGCATTTTAAGTTTTTAAAACAGGTATCGAGTTTCTATCGCACACACCCGTGAGTCGCCGTGCGGTGTTCAACCAGAACTGCACGGGCGAGAGCTGCTAGCTCATGCCACCTGATTCTGAGCGCTTGTATTGTTTTTTTTTAATCGAAATGATACGTTACATTTTGATGGCTCGCACGTTAAAGATAAGTGAATTTTGTTTCCAGCCTTGTTAAAAACAAATAAATTACGATTTAAATAGTATTCCATACAAAAGTATGCAAATGTAATAATTTTTAAGATGTTAGAGTACGTAACTAATTCAACAAATGAATTCATTATGTTCTTTGCATAATAAGCACAGCGAATTCTATTTTAGAGCTAAGTATTTTTAAGTGTTTGTCCATTAAGCCTTATCTATTACAAAATGGGTAGGTATTTTGCTTGAGTTACTTAGACATTTGTTTAGTTTAATGATAAAACTTCGTATTAATTAGTCATTTGTTTTATCAATCTATGAATTCGGATTATATAAGTATTACATATTATACCTATTATACTTAAAGAATAATTATATAGAAACAATATAGCAACACTTAACATTACTCGTTTTAATAAATTTTAATTAGTTAAATTAATACACGTAACGTTAAAAGTGCAAACGCAGGTACCTATCTAATGGGAAAAGTCAAAGCACTGATTAATAAGTAAAGTACCTAATTAATTTAAGTAAAAGCATTATAGACATTTAATTATTTCAACAATAAATTATTTCAGTTTTGATGTTTTTTTATGGATTAAGTTAATGATGAACCATATAAGTACCTATGCACCTTGAACTACTACTGTCTCTCCAAAACATTTTAATCCATCCTAAGGTTGCCTGAAAGAGATTGCTCTTAGCAATAAGGCCGCCTTTGTACATTACATGTCTGAAATTTTTATGTACCATAATACCTGTAAAATGTGTGCAAATAAAGAGTTATTTTTCTATCTATAGTAAATATTGTTGGCTTTGGTGATGATCATTATTCCGCCTCAATAAAAGAAAAAAACTACTTATACACAGGCTTACTGATTAAGTTGACCTAGATACTTTACTTTTGTAGTGGTCATTATTACTAATAGATTTTACAATGAAATACCATAATCGAAACCAAACCGTTTTCAAGATATTGGACTTTTAAGACTTTTTATAAAAATTGCCGAAATTCTGCCTGCCTGCCTGCATTTCGAGGGATGACTTATTTTTTTATGATTGCATTAAGGTCCGCACAAAATACCTCCCCCTCACCCTTCAACTTTTTTCATTTATCCCCCCTTTGATTTTCTCGGTTCCTGGAGCACTTGGACACCCCATGCTTAGGTTCGTCTGAACCGGGAAAAGGAGACGAACAATCTGGCCCCTACAGATTATTTAGCTGGTACCCGCGACTTTGTTCGTGTGGAATTTGAAAACACTGCCTTAGTGGGTTCGATTCCGGAGCCGGGCAAAATTCTATAGGGTTTTCCTAAGATAATTATTTAAAACTAGCTGGTACTCGCGACTTCGTTCGCGTGAAATTTGAAAACGCTGCCTTACCGGGTTCGATTCCCGGCCGGGCAAATTTCTATAGGGGTTTCCTGAGATAATTATTTAATACTAAGTTTATTAATACTAAGTTGATAAAAATGCCATGCAATAGCTTTACCGCGGCAGTCCCCGAGTGCCACACGTCCTTTTTTTTTTCAGAAACTATAAGTGCCAACATAGCATCTTTTGGCCAATTACCTCAGTGGATGTAGAGCGAACCTTTATAACTTATAAAAATATTTTGGTTGATTGATTGTTTACGTTTACAAAAATATTAAACATGTTTAGTATATTGTAATGTACTGTATTTTTTGAATAATGAAATGTACTGTACCTATTATCGTCTATCAGTGGATAGTTTACTAATTGTATGCTTATTTTGTAAAAAAAAAATAACTTTCCTTCATTTCTTGGGTTTCTTAAACTTGTCATTTAATTTCACTTATTCTGCCAATTTTCATGCCTATTTCGAGAATTATTCATGCATATTTGTATGCATATAACAAGCTTTTTGTGTTGCATATAATCCGGTCTTTAATAGTAACATTCTGCAATCGACGGCCGAGATAGCGTGCTATGTATTCATTGACGCACATGTACTGTAAGCGACACCACTGCACCACACCACTGGGGTGTCGTTTACAATTATTTTTTTTGGCAGCGACACCACCGCAATGGAGTTCTGACACAAAACTTATCAATTTATAGACATCAATCAGTATCCGTAAGAAATGAAAATTTCAACATATTATTCGTTCGTGTGGGTCATCATCTTCAACAGTATCAGAAGCACCAATCAAAGTCCTGTTAGCAATAGTTAGTAACATATAAAACAGGTAACAGTCCAAACACCCAAGCCAGGTTAAAGGTTTATATTAAAATTACGCTGTTTGAAGCCTTCTGCACATTATTTTACACCTGCAGCCTGTGGACTAAGTTTTCGTGGACGGCATACAATGACCTGCGTGTCCAGTATAATAAGTTGAAAAAGTTATTCACAGCAACTTGGTTAAGCCTGATGCTCGAGCTGCAGATGTTGCTTCAGGTTTGCGTAGGCTGAGTTCTGGATTACGCTTGATAATTTTTTCTAACCAAATCCTACCTGCCATCTTCTTCCCTGTGTCAAAATTGTGTTTTATATTATTTTTATCTGCTAGATCGAAAGCTAATATTCGCATATCTTGTTAATCTCTCTAAGTCTCAGTGGTTAATCCAAAAAATCGACTTTCAATATCTTTAACATACGCAGCTAATTCCAGTTCTTGATCTTTGGTAAATATCTGCTTAAATCTACCTAAGTTCTTTTCTGTGGCTTCCTCAATATTTTGGGTGGTCAAGTATTTCTTTATTGTCCTTTTTAAATTAGTTTTTGGCACATTGAATTCAGCGTAAGCTTTATTAAGGCCCATTTCTCCGGATTGAACTTTCTCAATAGCACTTTTCATATTAACTTTATCCCTTTTCATTGAAGGCAAAACGGTAAACGTTTTGCCTGGGTCTGTCTTGCCTTTTATGCGTAAACTAAAATAAATACAATTTTTGAGGTTATGCGTAATGTAATTGTCTCCATAGTCAACCAATAGGTTAACATTACCACCCCCTTTTTTTTTGTCCGTGCGGAAATCCCCTCGGATACCACCTGTCAGTGGCATGTCGGACTCGAACCGACTAAAACCCATGGGAACACACAGCACAGGGAACGTGTGAGAACCCCATGTTCCCTGTGCTCCCTGGAAGCGAGCGCGCTCCGCAACGCGCTCGTAGCCACCCCGGCCTGCTTCTGCTAGGGTGACAGATGGCCTCACCTGTCACCCCCAGGCCTGCGCTTATGGAGGACGGAGGTCGTTCTGCGACCTCCGGCGCCTGAGTCGCCTGCGGTACCTGGCCCGTTCCCGGGCCTGGCGGGCCGGGAGAGTCCTAAACCTCTCCCGGTTCCGCTCCGCCGTCTCCTTCGAGAGCATAACTTGCTCGCAGAAGGAGACGGCAGAGTTCCAAGCACTCTCACTCCGCAAGATAGCCGCAATCAGGCTATCGAGCGAGAGAACTCCCACTCCGATGGCCGCCACGAGGTCTCGCCTCTGCTCAACCAACGCCGGGCACTCTGCCAGCGTGTGGAGAGCCGTGTCCACGGTCTGGCCATCGCAGTGGTGGCACTCAGGCGTTGGCTCCTTGCGGATCAGACACAGGTGATCCCCGAAACATCCTTTCCCAGTGATCACCTGCGTCAGTCGGTATGAGAGGGTCCCGTGACGCTTCTCGAGCCAATCCTCCATAACGGGTCTTACCGCCGCGATGCATTACCACCCCCTAAAGTAACCAGGTCGACTTAACCAGTAACTCTGCATTATACGTATCAAACTGACGCCCATGAAAGCCTGCAACTCAGAGCAATCGTGTTGCCGGCCTTTGAGGAACGTTCTTTTCTTGAAGGTTTGAGGGTCGTATCGGTCCGGAAATACCACAGACGATAACTTGTTCCACAGGTTGGTAGTGCGAGGCAGAAAGTGTCTTGAAAAGCGCACAGTGGTGGAGTGCCAATTATCCAAGTGAAAATTTTGCCATGTGAAACGATGGCGGAAAGTTGCGGCCGGCATTAGTCCGAACAATTGATGACCGACCGACCGAAAATGATATATACGATAGAGAATACAGAGCGAAGCTATCGAGTCGGTCGGAGATGCTATGGCTATCAACGATTCGAGTCGTCCTACTTTGGATACGGTCCAGAGGGAGAAGCTGGTACTGATGTGCCCCTGCATGCGGTGCCCATATGCGTCTGGACTTGCGCCTTATAGAGTTGGAGGCGATGGGCTGGAGTGAAATAGTGCCTCGATCTGTTGAGCACACCAAGCTTCTTTGAGGCCAATTTGACCTTACCCTCTAAATTACCGCGAAACTGGATTTCGCTCGAGATGTCAATGCCTTGGTCAATATCAATTCCGATACTGGCTGAGGCAGTTAGGAAGGTACTCTCGAACCGAGCTGATGCGACAAACGGTATCTTTTTTGGGTTAAAATAGACTAGATTCAGTCGACCCCAATCTGGAACCTCTGTTAAGGAAGTTTCTCGACTCTCGACGTCGTTTTCCCGAGAAATATTGGGGCGACCGGTATAAAAGGCATCTGCCGTGCTATCATCTGCATAGCAATGGATGCTACTAGTTCGCAATATATCATTGATATGCAGAAGAAACGGTTTGGGTGATAGCACAAAGCCATGTGGGACACCAGCATTTGATGACTTCAAGTCGGAGCATGTACCATCAATAACGATCTTAATGCTTCTGCTAAGAAAACTAGTGACCCAGTTATATAATTTCTCAGGAAGCCCATAGGAAGAGAGCTTTGAGAGAAGCGCGTTATACCACACCCGATCAAAGGCTTTCGCTATGTCCAAGCTTTACCGCACAAGCTGGTCGCACCCTCGCACCCTCCCTCGGTCTCAATCGCCTGTGTCCAACGGTGTGTTAGATGGACGAGAAGATCACCAGTTGAGCGACTCCGGCAAAAACCATATTGACGGTCGTTGAGTAGCTGGTGATTTTCTAAGTACCGGAGGAGCTGGCAGTTGATTACGGATTCCATAATCTTAGAGAACAAGGAGGTAATGGCTATAGGCCTGTAGTTGGATGGATCAGAGCGGTCACCTTTTTAGGGATCGGTTGCACAAACGCTACATTCCAGGAGTTCGGGACGACGCCTAGGAAAACCGGTGCCAACACGAGCACACTTCTTCAACACGATAGGGGAGATTCAATCGAGCACACTCGACGCTGTTTAAATATCTGCTATAATCTTTTAGGCAAATAAACATTGATAGGTTAAAAACCCAAGCGAAGAATATAAGTTTATAATTTAAGAAATCGATTTATACGGTCTTATTCCTTATTTATAATATTACTTGACATTTATTGGTTCATACGCAATCTACTGAATTTTAACCCGATCTACTTAAGTTTTCTATTGAAGGTATTTTCTGATTGGTGTCATCTTATAGTAGCTTATGCTCAAAGCTTAGCTAGCGGGAGTATAGATTTTATCAATCAGTTCAGATATCCTCCCTCCCTCGTTATTCCTTTTCTGGACAAAATACTTATACCCATGGTCATTTTTACCTGACAGTGTACCTGAAGCGTAACAAGCATACAAACACTCATTTTTGTTTTTTTTAATAATGGATGATTTACTGTGCTTAAAACCTAGATTATATGCCAAAGTCCTGATAGTCTGTAGCAATAATATATGCATTAAAATAACATACTTATTTTCTAAAAAGGTACTAAAATTTACATGATGAAAGGTTACGCTCAATGGCTACTTCAGTTGTATCCAACAACGTAGAGCGCAATACAACTAAATAGTTCCTATTTACAGTCTGTACAGTGCGCATTTGAAATGAGTCATAATTTGTATTTTGATTAATGGCGTTGTTATCCCTTAATGACATTCGATTGCCATCCCTGACATTGAGCGCTTTGTTAAGTAATGACCATATATCCACTTTCAAATACATGACATTGGCGAAATTGTGGTTACATTCTACCACAAAGCCATTAACGTAAAGTTGAAGTTGACCATATATCCAGATGCTAACGGTCTAAACAGTTGTGCAAACAGTTTCTTTTAATTCAACATCATGAATTAAAAGAAACTGAATCTTTGAGCCTCGCTAGCAATATTGTATACAGAACGTCACCAGAATCCATACTTATATTTTGTATTTACATCAGTACCAATAACTTAGTAAGTCTAAAGCAGTGTTTGCTATACGAGTATGCAGTTCTCAGGATTCTTGTTTTTTGACATTTTTTGTATGAGATGTGTGGTTCTAAGCTATTACATTGGAGTAGGACTTTGTTCAACTACATGTATCGTAACACATGAAGTTGAAAAAATACCTCCAAGCAAAAATACGACATATCGTTTGTTGTATTTCTGTTCGGAGATACTCACAACAAACCAGAGATACTGTGACTTCGTACGTTGTGACCTGTCGATAAATAATTCTATACCGCAATACGTAGGAAGGTACGCCAGAGATAAAAAAATACATAAAAAATACATATAGTACCTACCATAATTTCGCTGAACGACTGGTTAATGCAGTTTAATTGTTTAAATTTTAATAGAATATTCTTATCTTATTCTGGAGTACTTATTTGTTTTATCCCAAATTAATTAGCACATGAAAACCTTAATATCCTCTTAGCGGTCATTAATATTCTTTGAGGATGTCGCATTGTGAAGGTTTGGGGAAACAGTCTACAGTAGTAGTTAAAATGAATGGATCTTGGTATGAGTATATACATCCTTGTTTTTATCACAGATCAGAATGAACGTGAAGAAATCAGCTGATATGCACACTTCATGTTTATCAGTTCATGTACTAGCAAGTTGTTAGGTTGAAAGTATCTCGCTGTGCTGACTCTGATTAGACACGCAATGGTCATTATGTTTTCTATTATACCTATAGACGTCCCCCGCGAATAATCCGGTAATGACCTGTCACGGGGTTTTTCATGTTATGCGTTTTTCGGCATCTAGAAGTTAAAATACACTATGTAATTTTTTTTCAGAAATTTTCTATCTTTATTTACGAAGATATTATTATGAAAAACTACGCGTATATTCCATAAAAATTCATTAAAATGTATTTTAAACGAATGATATGGTTTTAGATCTTTACGAAAAAAAATATCAATATGATTTGACAGTAAAATTACTTTACGATATTATTCGGGTAAATAGTTTTCTACCTTAGTTATGTAACATTTTATTGTTAGACACTGCACCGAAGACACGACGTCTTCGGTGCAGTGTCTATTTTTTATGATAATAATAACTATCGTGTTTTGTCAAACTAACCAAAGTTGTTTCATTTACTAGAATGTCCTTTATTTCATAAAATATACTATAATAATCATCAAATAATACTTAAGTAACCTATTCGAATAAACAGTAATAGTCATAACAATAAAATGTACGTTACTCTTAAACAATCGCATAACCTAATAATTACTTTTTACAAAATATGTTCAGTATACAAAACAAATTACACGAATAATAGCGCAACACGATATTACCGTTGCCGTCGAAAATATAAATTTACACGAACAATATAGTAAGTGACATTACTGACCAGAGCTTGACCTACACTAATATAGTAAAATGCATCCAGCTCAATTATAACGCAGCCCTTGGGACTACTTTAATTTTGTTGAAATAACCAGATAGCTGAAAAAATTAGCTTTCATATGCGATATAAAAAGTCTCTGATACTTTTTGTTTAATAGAGTTATTCAAAAAAAAAATGTTTTTTTATTTTTCCTGAACATTTACACTTTTACGATAACCGGATTATTCGCGGGGGGCGTCGCTATCGCTTTGGTTTAATGGCAAAGAATTGCATAAATTGGAATATAAACGGTAAACTTCGGAAAAATAT